TGATAGATATGGCAGTGGGCCACTAGGCCTTTCATTTGAGTACTTCAGGGAATCACTCATACTAAATAGAAATGTGTGCTAAATAGTATTTCTGGGAATAATTTATACCTAGTAAAATATTATAGACTCATAGGTCTGGAAGGTCCCTTAGAGATCAATTATTTTAGACCACTTATTTATAGTATTAACAATCATTATCTTTGAAGGTAGCATTTTAAGGGACTTTTAATATTATTTATATGCTGTTTAATTTTTCATAAGAACACATCACACATAATCAGAAAAATAAAATGGTTATTCCTGCTAAGATAATTCAGTAGGGGAAAGAATAGTCTTTTCAACAAATGGTATTGCAACAACTAGATATCCACATGAAAAAGAATGACTTTGTGGGGTTCCTGGGTGGCTCAGTTGGTTAAGCAACTGCCTTTGGCTCAGGTCATGATCCCAGGGTCCTGGGATCAAGTCCCACATCGGGCTCCTCCTCCTCTGTGGGAAGCATTCTTCTCTCTCTCCCTCTGCTCCTCCCCCTGCTTGTGTTCTCTCTCTCTCTCTGTCAAATAAATAAATAAAATTAAAAGAATGAATTTATACTCTTACCTTATACCATATACAAAAATTAACTCAAAATGAATCCCAGACCTAAATGTAAGAATTAATACTATAAAAGTCTTAGAAGGGGGATGCCTAGGTGGCTCAGTCCATTAAGGGCTGCCTTTAGCTTGGGTCATAATCCCAGGGTCCTGGGATCAAGTCCTGCATTGGGCTCTTTGCTCAGTGGCGAGCCTGCTTCTCTTTCTGCCTGCCTATCCCCCTGCTTGTGCTCCCTCTCTCTCTGTCTGTCTGTCTCTCTGACAAATAAATAAATAAAATCTTATTTTAAAAAGCCTTAGAAGAAAACATAGCCTAAGTCTTCATGATCTTGGGTTGGGCAAAGACTTCTTAGATATAAAACCAAAAGAAAAATATAAAAACTGGACTTCATCAAAATTAAAAACTGTTGTGTTGCAAACAATGCCATCAAGACAGTGAAAGACAACCCACAGAAAGGGAGAAAATATTTATAAATCATATCTGTGATAAGGCACTTAGATCCAGAATAAATATATATATATATATATATATAAACTACTACAACTCAATAATAAAAAGACAAACTAAGGTGAAATCTGTAACTGGCCCCAGATACAGAGGACAAGGAAAGGCTGAAGAAAGAGGCAGACCACTCCAGATTGGTAGGTGATAGTTTAATAAGCAAGGGTACTTACATACAAGGCTTGTCTTGGGCAGTTGCAAGATGGATAGATATCTGCACACACCCACCAGAATCTTAAACATTTATATAGAGGCTTTAACTGAGTTAAATTGAATATATATTGGCCAGATGGTCTTAACACCATATTGCTCTCCTCAAGTCTGCACCCTTTAAAATGGCTATCACTGTGGGAAACAGTGGGCAGAACACACATTTCAGGGACATGGGAAGGGATGAGGAGCTTCCAATTGTCTGGGTCCAAATTGCGGGTTAATCAGTGGTCACATCCTCTTGATGACCTCGTCTAACAGTTAGACATTTCTCCAAAGAAGATATAAAAATAGTCAATAAGCATGTGAAAAAAATGGTCAACATCATTAGCCATAAGGGAAATGCAAATCAAAACCACAATGAGATAATTCACAGCCACTTGGATGGCTATATTTAAAAAAAAAAACAGATAATAACAAATGTTAGTAAGGATGTGGGCAAATTGGAACCCTCATACATTGCTGGTGGATAAATGATGCAGCCACTTTGGAAAGCAGTTTGGCAGTCTTCAAAATGTTAAACGTAGTTACCATGTGATATAGCAATTCCACTTTCATATACCAAAGAGAAACCAATTCCACTTTCATATACCAAAGAGAAACAGAAACATATATTCATAAAAATCTTGTGCACTAAATGTTCATAGCACCATTATTCATAATAGCCAAAAAATAGAAACAACTTGTGTCCATCAATTGATGAATAAATAAAATGTAGTATCTTCCAAACAATGGAATGCTACTTGGCAATAAAAAGAAAAGAAGTACTGATACATTATAGAACATGGATCAACTCTGAATATGTTATGCTAAGTGAAAGAAGCTTGTCATCAAAGAGCATGTTATATGATTCTGTACACATAAAATGTCCAGAATAGGCAAATCTATGGAGACAGAAAGTAGATGAGTAGTTGCCTAGGGCTGGGGGTGGAGGGTAGGGGGCATGGGCAATGATTACTAGTGGGTTTCTTTTTGGGGTGGTAAACATGTTCTAAATCAGACTGTGGTGGTAGTTGCACAACTCTGTTGTGATACTAAAAACCATTTTAATGGTTTTATGGGTGAATTATATATAATGGGTGAATTATAGGTATGTGATTATAGCTTAATAAAGCTGTTAAAAAGAAAAAATGGCTATTCCATTAAATTGATGCAATATGATTTGAGGTGGGTGCCTGGGTAGCCCACTCGGTTATGCACCGGCTTTTGGCTCAGGTCCTGATCCCAGGGTCCTGGGATCCAGCATTAAGCATGGTTGGGCTCCATGATCAGCCTGGAGTCTGCTTCTTCCTCTTGGTCTGCCCCTCCCCCTGCTTGTGCTCCCTCTTGGACTCTCTCTCTCTCTCATGAACAAATAAGATATTTTATAAATAAATAACAGTATTTAAGGTGCCATTCTATTCGTTCATTATTAAACAGTTTATTTTTAGTTTTTCACATTGCTTAGTGTAACCAAACACTCCATGTGAAAGAGCCGTTTTTTACTAAAACTACTACAAAATATTATAATAGATAGGTGATATCCCTAAGGTCACCTACATGTTTCCAATATCACAAATCTGTCAATACTTTACAGGTGTAAAGAACTAGTATCTTCCACACAATTCTTTCCCATAGAATAAGGTCAGTGGCCTGTCCTTAAGCCTCAATTCAAATTACTCTAGCAGCAAGAGACATGAAAATATACTGCCTTAAACAAAACAAAAGTTTATTTCTCTGTCACATAAAAGTCATCCCAGGGCTGAGATGGCAGATATCTCTCCAATAACCTCTGGATCCCAGGCTCCTGTCACAGGTCCCAGGCATAGTCTACTGCTCTGTCAACCATAGGGTATAGTTCTTGCTGTTACAGTTCATCCAAGCAACAAGATGAAAGAAACAGAAAGAGCAGGGGTGGAAGGAAAGGGGACCAAGTAAGTGTATGTGCCAAAGGTCTTTAAGAAAAGTTCCCAGATGCCCTTTCTGCTGTGCACTGATTGACCAAAACATTGTGATAGAGCCATACTTAACTTCAAGTGAGACTGAGAATATGGTCTTTATCCCAGGTACCATGTGTCCAGGTAGAAATTAGGGGTTTTATCATCATGAAAGAAAGGGAAACACACATTCAGAAAACTCACAGACTCTCCCAGTAACTCATAATTTATCTGTCACAAAACCCCACCAAAATTTAGAGAAAAATAATCTGGTCACAAAGGATGAAAGAAGTAAGACGAACTAAGAACTATACACTAAATTAAGCAGTATGAGGAATAACTATGCCTAATAGTGAAAAGCATCAGAGGAGACATGTTTGCAAAAGGGTAGAGAAATAACCAAAAGTTCTAAAATGGGGAGAGCATTTTTATAAGATGGGAGCCAGAGGCAATATCAGTCAGATATACTAGGCAAATAAAAAGTCGCTTAAATGAACAATAAGTAAAATCTCACTTCCTTTCAGGTCCCATTAAGACCATCAATTTTTATCAAAACACTTTATTTTTGCCTCTTTTATTTGTTCATATGTTTCCAATTCCAAAGGGCTTACATTATCAACTGATTTTTTTTGCTTTTGGTAGTATTTCAAGGATATGCATTGTACCTAGTCTTCTCTATACTTCTAAAGATGTAATTAATTTTCCTTAGAAATCACTGTGGTTGTAGTTTTTTATTTACTATATTAACACTATCAGAAAAAATATTGAACATTCCCAGAAATCACAACTTAATGTAAATTTACTTAGTCCTTTTAATCATTAATTTGAGATCCACAGACAGGCTTGGTTTCTATGTAAGAAACAATGTGACTGAGATAAAGTGTTCAGGAGAGGTAACATTTAATATGTTTCAGGAAAAGGTTATTAACATTTAGTTTAGTGGGGTTTTTTTGTTTTGTTTTGTTTTAGTTTACAAGTTCAGAAGAGTTCATTATAAATACAAATATAAATAAGGAAAAGTTACCATAAGGGGAAAATAGAATTTTCAAATGATGCTGAGATTACCATAATATGCTGTATAATGAAATTTGAATCATGGGAGAAAGGAAAGGTCAGAGCCCACATATGCCCAAATGATCCAAACACTTTTAAAAAGTGCATTTTCTTTAGATAATTCTGCAGCTGGTATGCACTCTTAGGAGAAAGTACAGTTTTAAAAAGATGATAGCCTCACAAAAAATATATATAAAATAATAAATCCACCAGATTCTATATAGCACGACCATATGTATAAAGATAAGAAGTTGCTGTCTTGAAATCATTATTTAAAAAATAAGCCAAGCATGTTGGCTGGTTTCTGGTCCCCTTTGCAGATCTGCTGTCAGTTACATCTGAAACAGGCTACAGCACGTATCACGTGAGACAGTGGGAGGAACTGACTAGGAAAATCAAGACAGTCATGTTCTAGTCCTTATTTGGCCCCTAGTTAGTCACTCTAGGCAGGACACACTCTCAAGGCCTTCACTTCCTCATTGTTCTCTAAGGTTCTTTCCAGCACCGTGATTCTAAGGTAACTTGAGGGCCTATTTCAGATGATATAGTATTGTATACATTAAATCACTTCTGGTACATGTTATCAGGAACTGTCCACACATGAAGTCTGCATCATTAAAACTTTTTTCTCCATACTTCTCAAGATAGAAACAGTAATTTAGAACTCAACAATAAAATTTTAATTTTTTAAAATCAAAATAAGATGACCAGAATCATTAAACTTAGTATTCACAGCACTGAACCTAGAAAAACATATAATTAATAGAATGTTAAAGCCGAAAGACCATCTGACAGACTGAGACTTCTTGTGAAGTGTTTTAAAGACAATTACTCCATAACAACTGCATACTCAGGATTTGTGGACATAACATTACAAGCTGGGGGAAAAATCCAGCTCAAATGTCAAATCATGGAGCCAGAATGACTCTGAAATTCCGGAAGACACATTTTGAGAAAGAAACAGAATTCTCCCCCATTTCCCCATTCCCCTCTCCCAAAGGGGAGAATGTAAAATTATGCACATCTTTGGTAAAATTTCAGAAAAAATAAATGCCTAGATATAAAGAAAATTTAACTTAACATTTTCTCTTCAATTTGTTTTTTATAGCAGACATGTTAATTTCATTTTGAACATGGTATGCCAAATATCCTGAGCTTCCAGGAATAAAGTCATGTAGCTCCCCAAGGAATTTCTTCATGGCATCAATTGATATATAACCTACAAAATAAAAAATACATATATTTGAAATCCTATCATGCTATCATACTGTTTTGAAGTATCTTTGATTTATTAGAGTTAAGATTTCTAAAGAAAGTTTTTAGAAAAAATTGAAAAGAAGAAATAATGCCAGTGAGAAGATTCTCTATGAAACTTGATAATTACCAGGGAACACCTCCTTCCCAACTCCCCACTCCCTGCAGCCATCTACCTCTTATTTTCTTTTATCTTTTTAAAAGATTTTATTTTTTTATTTGAGGCAGAGAGAAAGACAGTAAGAGAGAGCACAAGAAGGGGGTGGGTCAGAGGGAGAAGCAGGCTCCTTGCTGAGCAGGGAGCCTGAAGCAGGACTCGATCTTGGGACTCCAGGATCAGGACCTGACCGAAGGCAGTCGCTCAACCAACTGAGCCACCCAGGCACCCTATTTATTTATTTTTAAATTTTTTATTTTTTTATTTAGAGAGAGTGTGTCAGCAGGGGAGGAGCAGAGGGAGAGAGAGACGGTCTCCAGCAGACTCCATGCTGAGCACAGAGCCTAAATTAGGGTTGGATCCCAGGACCTGAGATCATGACCTGAGCTAAAACTGAATTAATCAACTGAACCACCCTGGAGCCCCTTCTATCTCTTTTTAAAACACAAATATTTGATTATCCACTTTGACTACTGAGAGTGTAATGTCCAGGTTGAGGATAAAACATAAAGTACCTAGACCAAAATAACTGGAAAGTGTCTGGCTTAGAGTACAATAACTTAGAACTATCTATCCAATAGCTACTAACAACACAAACAGCTCATCTTCACTAGTAGAGCAGGACACAGTTTCCTGCACTGCTAACACAGGGTTAGCATTCATAATAAGAAATTAAGGAAAGGGGGTCCTGGGTGGCTAAGTTGGTTAAGTTGCCTTCAGCTCAGGTCATGATCCCAGGGTTTTGGGATTGAATCCCGAATTGGGCTCCCTGCTCTCTAAGGTGTGTGTTGGGGGGAGGTCTGCTTCTCTCTCTCCCTCTGGCCCTAACCCCTACCCCCATGCTCTCTTTCAGATAAATAAATAAAATCTTTTAAAAATAATTGATTAAGAATAATCAGTATTACTGCTTAGTCAACAAAGGTTATGAGTGTGATTAATTTTGATAACAGTAATCTGAAATTGATAAGAGTATTAAAAAACCCATCTTAGAATGTGGAGAACTTAAAAGCTTAAGGGCTCAATGACTTTAGGGCAACCCATTTGGGACCCCTCTCACTCTAAAGGGCTTTTTTCCCCTTTTTTTCTGTTCTTGCCTTCACTTAATAAACTTTTACTCACTTCAAAAAAAAAAAAAAGGGACTCAATGACTTGAAGCAATATTATCTTCACAACAACTGCTTATCTGAGTGATTATATTTTATGAGTAATATATTTATAATTAATATTAAAACTGAGACCTAATTTAGAAGTCAATACTGTGTGAGAAAAACTCTGGGTAGAGCTCAAAGATGATTGATTTTAGAATACCACTACCAACATGCAGTATACATGCATATAGTTTGATTGCTTTTAATAATATATAATAAATTGACAGTTAATAAATTAACTATGAATTCACTAATATAAAACTGATTAGTGTCTTTAAAGATATTTTAATCATAATCATTTACTTTAGAAAATCTCTTGAACACTATTTCTATACTCCATATGGTTCACGATCTTTGCCTAATGACTAGGTTTCTGTGTAAAATAAACTAGTAAAGGAAAATATTAACATTTAGTTAATTGCACTGTGTGAAGTTTCTAAAGGTATGTGTGAGGATAGGAATTTTTAAAATAATTTTTATATTAATAAAAATATTCCTATAAGAAGGATAGGACATTTTTACATCAGAAATGGATAATTTTAGCAGTTTTGAAGTAATTAGGACTTCAGGCTGAAGTTCACTGACACTCAAACTAAACTAGCTTGATAGAAAGATTGCTGTGTCAACCAAACTGTGAGGAAGGCAGACATATTGCAGGGCCTCAGAAGTAACCAGAGCTCACGGCTGTCTCTCATTGGTATCCAATTTTTCTCTGCGTGTTAATTTCAGTTCTTCTCTCTTGAGGCAAGTTGGCTTTTTTTACATGGTAGGAAACATGGACCCACACGACTTCCAAGTTTTAGATCTAAAGAGCTATGGTCACCTGAATGAGAATGATTGGACTGGCTGCACTCTATGTATAAAAATCTAGAGAAAGCTATAACTGGCCCAACTCAAATCAGGTATTCATTCCCAAGGCAACTGCTGGGGGTGAGGAGCAAGCTCATGTTTTAGGAAATGACTATTTCTGTGTATCAGATAAATTGAGGGGAAGAAAAGAAAGTTCCTAAGAAAGGTATTCTTGGTGGAGAATTCCATACATGTCTATGGTAGCCAGCCTCCCAGATGGCCCTAAATGATCCTTATCTCCTGGTATTCACAAATTTGTGTAGTCTCTAGAAGGAGAGTCTGTACTTAGGTTGGTCTGTATGACCAACAGCACATGGCAGAAGTGATCGTATGCCACTTCTAAGAGTAGGATAGAAAAAGAGACCAGTGGCTTCTGTCTTGGGTATGCTCTTTTTCCCTTCTTGTATTTCTCACTCTGAGGAAAGTGACCTGCCATGTTGTGAACAGCCTTATGGAGAGGCCCACTTGGTGAGGAGTTTGGCCTTTGGCCAAAAATCAGCAAGGACCCAAAGCTTGCCAATAACCACATGAGTAAGCTTTGAAATGGATTTTCCAGTACCATTTGTCCCTGAGTAACTTCAGCCTAGCTGACAACTTGACTGCAACCTTAGGAGAGATTTTGAGACAGAGTATCTAATTAAGATGCTGTTGGATTCCTGGCCCTCAGAAATATCAAGTAATAAATATTCATTGTTTTAAGCTGCTAACTTTTAGAGCAATATGCTACACAGTGATAGGTAACTAATACAGTATCTATTATAAGTTCCCAAATTTTTAATTATCAGAACTTTTTGGCTTGAAAATTTTTGCCTGCAAGATATTTACAGTTACAAGTTATTTATAGTTATTTACTAATTTTTTTAAAATTAGTTACACATGTAGCAGTCAATCAGAATTTCTTATCATGGGTGATAAGTAATGATATCAGACTAAAATAATTTAATTCCAGTCAAAAGCAAAAACTAACAAAAACAGACCAAAAAAAAAATCCCTTGACATTTTATGGGACATTTATGGGACATTTGGGACTATCTGAAGATATTTTTGGTTGTCACAACTTGGGACCACCAGTTCTAGGGTATAGTTCCAACTTGTATTTTCTACAACCTAAAATCTAATTAGTTCTATTTTAAGAAACTTAACATTCATTGAATTGAACCCAATTCATTTTGAGGAAGACACAGTCAAGTTACAGTTACAGAAGTTACTACCACTGCCTAAATTAGAACTGTCACTCACTATATTCCAACAAGAAGTTATTCCTTCCTATAAAGCAGATGGGCATGATTTAAAAAAAAAAAAAAAGGGAAGTAGTTGTCATTTCACATCAAAACTAAAGCCAAAGAATCATCTCTAAAGCTTAAAACTTTCTTTCAAGAAAGTACAGTTTAAATTTTTTAAAAATTTTTTATAAAAATTTTAACGTAGGGGCACCAGGTTGGCTCAGTCAGAAGAGCCATTCCTCTTGATCTCAGGGTCATGAGCTGGAGCCCAGTGTTGGGTGTGGAAGTTACTTAAAATAAATAGATAAACTTAAAAAAATAAAATCTTAATATCGAAATATAAGGAAAGAAAATAATCAAGAAAATAAAAAGATCAGAAAATTTTACTTTTGCTCTATCAAAATTAAAAAAAGATTATCGCAGGTTGAAATTTTACTTTAAAAAATCTGACTAATGATTATTTTTATAGTTCTTTTTTAGTTTGTTTTTAATACAACACTTTCATGTCTTTTGAATCGTCAGCAATGAAACAGAACAGTATTATTACATGTCCAAATCTAAGGATTTGTCTTTATTATACGGCTGATTTTGACGCTTAACATTGATTTTTAAAATATGCTATCAAACACTTGGTAAATCCAAATGAACATGAGACATTTAGAATCTGGTGATAAAGTTGCCTGAAACAAAATCAATACCAGTAATAGGCTACAACCATAGTTTAAGGGGTACCTACATTTTATCTGAATGTTTAGGCCTAGGGATAAATTAGGGTAGCAATCGCTGCTCCCGATATTAGAACTTAAGTATTTCTACTTAGTTCATTGTCCTTTGCAGGCCACGATTGCTCCTAAGAACCCAGAACTGACTTCTCTGCTGTCAAAGCTAGGTAACAGACACAGCCTCAGAAGACACATTAAAAGTTCTTTTTAAAGTGCTTTTCTAGGGCACCTGGGTGGCTCAGTGGGTTAAGCCTCTGCCTTCGGCTCAGGTCATGATCTCAGGGTCCTGGGACTGAGCCCCACATTAGGCTCATTCTCTCTGCCTGCCTACTTGTGATCTCTCTCTCTGTCAAATAAATAAATAAAATCTTTAAAAAACAATAATAATAAAGTGCTTTTCTAAAGGCTATGAACAGAAGAAAAAAAATAATGAAACAAATGGCTCGACCAAATGTAAGAAGGAATAGTACTATGAGAGAAGATGTAAGAATTTGTGGACTAGTTGCAAGAGTTAGTTTTGACACTGATAAAGAGAATGTGATAAATATACAAATGATTTTTAAAAATGAAATTTCAAATACTTCTAAGTTGCTGTGTTTGAAACACAATATTTTAAAAAACAATCCGTGACCCTACTGAATACTACCCAGATCAAAGTATATGAATACCGACCTCACTTACCGCTGTCCAAATCCCAATGGCCAGTGTCATCTGGTTCCCATGGTTCCACCTTCTCATGTCAGCCTTAGTAAGCAGTCTTTCTACATGTCAGATACTAGAAAACCCAAATATGGAGTCCAGGTACACCTGTGAACCTCTTTAAATTTTATGCAAAGTTGGTGTGTTATGTTTATATGTGTGTATGCTAGGGAAGGGGGTCTATGTTTCATCAGATTCTCAGAGAAAACTATGATTAGAGATGTCCATATAATTTATCTTCCAAATTGGGACACCCGAGAGAAAAAAACTGATCCCAGGGCAACAGACATAAACTGGGACTGTCTTATGTACACAAGGATGCGTATTCATGCTACCAAAAGACAAATGTTTTAACAGAAAACATGGGACCTATCTCTGGGTCAGTTCTGCAGATTTATTTAATGCATTGTTGTACATTGGGTATTTAATGATTTATTATACAAAATAGTCTTGTTTCTTCCCTACTTGGGTTTTCTCTAAATTTTATTTCATTTTAAATTACCTGTTACCATGTTGTTCACAGGATAATTCTGAAGAGGGAAGTACATCTGCTTTTCTGTAACTGGAGTCCTTATAAAATGCTTTTCTGTGCTATAAAATCAAACATACAGAAAGTCTTATTTATATTTGCTTTTCCCTGAGAAATTATTCCAGACAATATATATAAAGTAATCTATTTGTTTTTGAGCAGACTTCAATCTTATTGGGTAAGTGTAGACTTCTTTTGTGCTTCTAAGTAATACAAGTTCCCATATAGATATTTTCGGCTTTCTTGGCCACTTCACAAAACACATTTTTTGTGTATATAGAGGCATAAGTCTTTTCAGTATTCTTAAAAGCAAAATAATTCAATATTTTATAATTTATAAATTTATAAATATAAATATAATTTATAATATTTTATCTAAAATATATATATGTATATATACTTATATATACATATATATATATAAAATCTTAAATATGCCAAAGAAAGTATAGTGGGGTTTATCTGAAATAATTATAGCATTTTTTGTTATTCAGTGTTTAAAGAATTAGAACTCTATTAACTAGTACTTCGATGCTTTAAATAAAAAATGAAATTTGGGGAAATCATGAGGTATACAAGATTCTGAAGTGACTTCTCAGTTAAAAAGAAAAAAAGTTAAAGTATTCTGAGTGTGGTTGTGTAGTATAATTAATTATATTCTCACTTTTAAGAGCTAAGTAGTTTTCAACTAAAATATTCTGTTTTCTAACTGTGCCAAGTAATAATGTTTACTGTATTTAAACTACATATAACCAATAGATAATACAATTATATGAAAATAAAAACCTCAATAATAAAGTTGGGGTCATCCTTAATTTATTATTTTCCTTAAAAAAATCTAAAATTATACTTAGTGAAAGTAAAGCTTTATTTTCAATTTGTTTAAAAATTAGATTTCATCTGAACTCTTTTTTTTTAAAGATTTTTTTTGAGAGCAGGTGAGAGAGAGAGAGAGAGAGAGAGAGAGAGAGCATGAGCTGGGGGAGGGGCAGAGCGAGAAGCAGAATTCCCAAAGAGCTGGGAGCCTGATGTGGGACTTGATCCCAGGACTTGGGATCATGAGCTGATCCAAAGGCAGATGCTTAACCGACTGAGCCACCCAGGTACCCTGAACTCTTACAAAAGAAATGACAGCTCAGTTAGGATAAGATCCTTCAAACAAAGCAAAATAATGTTCCCAGAAGGGTCAGGGACTATAAAAGGATAACCATTATTGTTATTTAGTATGGCTTTAGAATTTCTGGCTAAGCAATGAGATGGGGGAGGGTAGAGAAGGAAATGGAAAAGACATCTAGTAAAAAGGAAGAAGCAATCTTTCATATTAACAAGTGATATGATTGTACACCCCAAAAAGCCAAGAGAATCACTGAAATATTTCTAGAATCTTAAAGATTCCAAGTGGGTAGTTATAAGACAAATATCCCAAATCAATAACTTTCCTATATAATAGCAATAATTAATAAAAATAAAATGGAAAAAATGAACCAATCCACAACAGCAACAAAATTCATAAAAATCTAGAAATAATCATAACAAGATATTTGTCATTCTATATGCAGAAAAATGGGAAAATTTATTGGAATATAGAAAAGGAAAATAAAGAAAAACAAAAAACATTCTCCTGCAGAGGAATATAAAAAATTATAAAGTTATCAGTTCTTCTTAAAATTTAACATAATTCTCAGGGTGCCTGGGTGGCTCAGTGGGTTAAAGCCTCCATCTTCAGCTCAGGTCATGATCCGGGAGTTCTGGGATTGAGCCCTGCATAGGGCTCTCTGCTCAGCAGGGAGCCTGCTTCCTCCTCTCTCTCTCTCTGCCTGCCTCTCTGCCTAGTTGTGATCTCCCTCTGTCAAATAAATAAATAAAATCTTAAAAATAAAATTTAACATAATTCTCAATAGGGATTTTAGAGGTTAAGAAAAAAATAATTCTAAAATTTACCTGAACAACAGCATGTTAGAATATCTAATAAGAGGCACACCAAATTTATAATAGAGTGGAAAGAAAAACTAGCAATAATCTTAAAAGACATATAAAATTTATATGAAGAAAATATGGGGGCGCCTGGGTGGCTCAGTGGGTTAAGCCACTGCCTTCGGCTCAGGTCATGATCTCAGAGTCCTGGGATCGAGCCCCGCATCGGGCTCTCTGCTCAGCAGGGAGCCTGCTTCCTCCTCTCTCTCTGCCTGCCTCTCTGCCTGCTTGTGATCTCTCTGTCAAATAAATAAATAAAATCTTAAAAAAAGAAAATATGAAAATGTTCCTCAAGGGCCACAAAAGAAAATTCGAACAAGTGGGGAAAAAATACCATTTTCTCAGATAAGAAGATTCAGTATCAGAGATAGTCTCCCTAAGTTAATCTATATATTTTTTGTAATGTTACTAGAAGTAACAATAGTAACTTTTTAAAAATATATGAAAAAGGTGGCTCTAAAATTCAGACAGAAAAACAAACCAGCAAGAAGTTAATAACTAAGAAAATTTGAAAAAGAGTAAAGAGGAAAACTAGCACTAGATATTAAATCGTATTATAAAGAACTAAAACAGAATCATATGTATGGCAAATGAATGGAATATAAAAATATAAAATGCAGAAATAGACCCAAATCCTTATAGGGATCTAACCTTATGATAAAGGTGGCATTTTAAGGCAGGTTAGGGGAGGGGAAGATAAATTATTTAATCAATAGCCACAAGTAGTTAGCTATCTGGAGGAAAGAAAAAAAAAGTGGATCCCCACCTCACTTATTACACAAAGACATATTCCAAATGTGTTACAAATTTAAACTGAAAAATAAGTAATTAAGAAGAAACCAAAGCAAATAATAATAATAATCTTAAGAGAAGGAAGACTTCCCTAAGTACAACACAAAACCTGAAAGCCATTTAAAAAAAAAAGTTAATAAGCATTAATGTATATAGTAAAATATATTTGCATGACAAACCCAGCATTTTTTTTAAGATTTATTTATCTATTTATTTGACAGAGAGATCACAAGTAGGCAGAGAGGAAGGCAGAGAAAGAAGGGGAAACAGGCTCCCCGCCAAGCAGAGAGCCCAATGTGGGGCTCGATCCCAGGACCCTGAGATCATGACCTGAGCCGAAGACAGAAGCTTAACCTACTGAGCCGCCCGGGCACCCCAAATCCAGCATTTTTTAAAGTCAAAAGACAATAGGTTAAGGATTAATTCTAACTTATTTCACAATGAAGCAATTCTCCTAAAATGTGAAGTGTTCTTATCAAAAAATAAAAGCAAAACTCGATCAATAGAAAAATGTGCAAAGGATATGAACAAACAGTTCACAGAAACGAAGATATAAGCGGTTCTCAAACAACTGAAGACACACAACCTTGTTCATAATAATAACAATTCAAACAAAACAAGACTAAGTTACCATTTTATACCTATTAGATTAACAAAGACCAAAATACATGATAGTACTCTGTGTTGGGGGAGGTATCATGAAATAAAATGACTAACCATCCCAGTTTACCCTAGATTAAGGGATTTCTCAGGACATGGGAATTTTCAGTGTTAAAATCAGGACAGTTCTAAGCAAACCTGGATGTTTGGTTCCCCTAGCTGGAAAAGGCACTTTTACACACAACCAGTAGGAGCATAAATTGATTTAACCTGTATGGAAGGCAATTTGGTAAGACTTAGCAAGGATACAAATCTACATGCCTTTTGACCTCCTAAGAATTACCTTACAGACACTTACACACCTAAAAAGTTACATTACATAATCAGTCACTGAAGCATTGTTTTAAACAGCAAATTAGAAATTACCTAAAAGTCCATTAAAATAAGCAACTAGAGGGGCACCTGGGTGGCTCAGTGGGTTAAAGCCTCTGCCTTCAGCTCAGGTCATGATCCCAGGGTCCTAGGATCGAGCCCCACGTCAGGCTCTCTGCTCCGCAGGGAGCCTGCTTCCCACCCTCTCTCTCTCTGTCTGCCTCTCTGCCTACTTGTGATCTCTTGCTGTCAAATAAATAAAATCTTTAAAAAAAAAAAAAGCAACTAGAGGGGAGCCTGGGCACCTGGGCAGCTCAGTGGGTTAAGCCTCTGTCTTTGTTCAGGTCATAATCCTGAGATAGAGCCTTGCATCTGCTCTCTGCTCAGCAGGGAGCCTGCTTCCCTCCCCCCTCAAACCTCTGCCTGCCTCTCTGCCTACTTGTGATCTCTCTCTGTCAAATAAATAAATAAAATCTTTAAAAAAATAAGTAACTAGTTAAGTAAATTATGATAAATCCACATAGTGGAACACTATACAGTATAAAAATGAAAAAGCTCTTTATGTAATAATATGGAGTGATCTCCAAGGTAAATTAATGAGTGAAAAAAGGCAAGGGACTGAACAGGACTTATAGTCTGTCACCATATGTTAAGAAAAGAGAAATGAAAATACTTACATGAATTTGCTAGTATATGCACATATAAAGAAATGATAATATTGGTTGTTTCTGGGAGAGAAACTGGCTCACTAGGGACCAGTATTTTCATAATACCCCCTTTTGTATGTGTTGGATTTCGATTAATTAAAATTTGAAAATGAAAAATAATATGTAGGCATGAAGAACTAAAGAAAAGATTTTTAAAAGGAGAGTAATGGGGGCACCTGGGTGGCTCAGTTAAAGCCTCTGCCTTCGACTCAGGTCACGATCTCAGGGTCCTGGGATGGAGCATCTCAGGGTCCTGGGATCAAGCCCCGAATCAGGCTCTCTGCTCAGCAGGGAGCCTGCTTCCCCCCTCTCTCTCTGCCTGCCTCTCTGCGTACTTGTGATCTTTGTCTGTCAAATAAATAAATAAAATCTTAAAAAAAATAAAAAATAAATAAAAGAAGAATAATGAGTTTGAGACTTGCCTTGTCAGGTATTAAAATACATAAATGAAGTTTTATAATTTAAAATGAATATTGTATTGATACAGAAATAGATCCACAGATTAATGGAATAAAACAAATAGTCTAAAAATAGATCTCCATATACATAAAAAAATGACAAAGGGAAATTACATATCAGTCAGAAATAGATTTATTATTCAAAAAACCAGTGGAAATTTCTTAGTTGCAAAACAAAATCAATTTAGATCTTCACCTACTACCATACACCAAAATAGGTATCTCCAAAATTTAAAACTGATTTGATCTCTGAATGGGAAAGAACTTTTCTGAACAGAAAAGCAATAGAAGAAATTATAAAGGAAAAGTAATCAATTTAATGATGCAGAAATTTAAAACACATCTTTAAACAGTATAAGCTGGAAAACAAACTGAGGACATAATGTGACAAATTCACAAAAGGATAATATAGCTATTATATGAAGATGCCAGACAAATTGATAAGACAAATAATAAGACCCCCAATAAAAAGGGGAGAAAGGATAAAAACCACAGGAAAGAAATATAAAATGCTAATAGATTCAGAAAGTTTCAAAGCCATTAGAAATTAAAGAAAAATGCACATTAAAACAAGATGTATTTGTATAAAACTAGTAAGAAATGTACTAATGTTGATGGTGGTTATCTCTAAGTGGTGGAGTTGCTTATAATTTAAAATTGCTTTTTTTCAATTTTGAAAAATTACATGCATTATGTTTATAACAATAATTAAATTCATCAATTTTCAGAAGATTTGGGGAACATACTGGAAAGCAGGAAAAGCATTGTAATTAAGAGTTTGGATTCTGGATCAGCTAGACTTAGCTTCAAATTCAGCTTCACTATGTAAGTAATATTGGGTGACATTTAGCACTCTGAACCTGTTTCCTCAATTGTGAAATGGGGCTGATAGCATTTATCTCTTACAAAGTTATGAGAATCAAATGAACTGATTAGCTCACAAGTGCCACACATTTAGCAAGTGTTTAATAACTGGTTCATTATGTACTGTTCAATACCATTAGTAGAATGCCAACAAATCAAATGTTTCCTGAGTAAGGACGAAGTATATTTTATCTATGTTCACACTGCACCCTCTGGTGGTTTTATAAAGTAAAGGTTCTAGGTTAGACACCTACTAAGGTATCCATTCATCCTTCTTCCATTGTTATTGTTATTGGATTGGACATACTTTCCCCAAATTAGTAAGTCCCCTTTGTATCCTAAACTACTTTTTGTTAGGTGTTTTTCCACATGCATATTTTTCTTTTGACCTAGTTTATGGTGTTTTTATTGCCATGTATAAGTTTAAAATATTTTTGATAGTCACACTTACCAATCTTTTCCTTGATGGCATCCGTGTTTTGCAGGGCAACTATTTCCTAAAGAACTTATGTATCTTATATCTTTCCTAGTCAAGTGAATCACTGGGAGTTACTTTTTATTTTTTATTTCCCAGCCTTTTATTACAAGGTCACTTAGGATTATCACTCTTTCCTCTATTAAGAATATCTTCATTAAGATATTCTTCTATTAAGAATATCTCTATTAAGAATATCTCTATTAAGAATATCTTCATGGTCTTACCTCTTCCATTCTTATTTTCCTTCCTCTCTTTACCAGTTTCTTATCTCAAAAAAAGCATAGCTTTTTTTACTATGTTCAAAGGAGTAAGTTCAAAGGAGTGCTATACACAGAGATCCCAAGACTTAAAATATGGATTCTCTAACTTAAGTGGTAGAATATCTAGAAGTCACAGGACCATGAAACAATAGTTTACTAAACTTAATTAAATACACAACTTTGTGTAAATTAGATAACAACTAACTTCAAATTATAACAACCAAATAGTAGGTACAAGAGATATAAGTAAAAAATGAAGAAAAACTTAAAACTGAAGACACTATATAATGTAAACCCATTAATTTTTTTTTTCTTGGATGATTGGAGGTTTATTTATCACTGGTGGGCTCAGAGGAGACTGTTCTCCAAAGGTCTGAGCCAACACTTTAATTTTTATATTGAAAAGAGACACTACTATTTGATCATTTTTATTTCTGCAGCTAAATGCCAGACCTTCAAATAGCCAGTAATCTCTATCAGTATTTGGAAACCAGGGAACCAGAAAATATGGAATTAGGACCGGATAATAAATAAGCCTGAAACAAAGGGGGCCTCTCAGAGATTGGTTCCAACATAATGGTAAATCCATGATTGTCTGTCTTTTTAAAATTAATTTCTTAAACCAAAGTAACCACATTACAAACAATTTAGAAAGGAAAGGGGAAGATCACTCAGAACTTCCAATCCTAATAAAATTACTGCTCATATTTTATATATCTCCTTACTTAAAAAATTAAAAAATAATGTAACAGTAATACAATATACATAAATTCTTATTTTTTCTTTTGCAAGGATAGTCCATCATAGTGGTTGGCTCTGGAATTACACTGACCCAGTTCAAATCCAACTTCTCTCCACTTAATAATATAAGTTTGTATGACTTTCAGCAAATTAACCTGTCTAATCCTAGATCTCTTTTGCTGTAAAATGGCAGTGGTGATAATGATAATATCAATTGTGTAAGAAGACTGTGAAAATTAAATGAGATAAACACTTACAGTTAGTGTTCGAAGATCCCTACATTGAATTGAATATCAAAGAAATGTATGAATTCAATACCTTTTGGATAATTCTTTTTCTTGATCTGTTGCTAGTTCACTGCTTTCCCTAAGGGCTTTTATTTCATTTGGTATTACTTCATCATGCTGTGGATAGCAAAAGAAATCACATTTTTAAAAATGAGCACACCAATGATCCAATCAAATGGTTTTTAAAAAAGCAAAAAAGTAAATTGACAATATGTATCAAGTCATAAAAATATTTATACACTTAGGCACATTCAATCTAGTGCATTGTCAAAAACTTACAAAACTTTGCACGCACACACAATTATACTATCTGCTTTTAGGGCTATGTAATGAAGACTATGTATTTTTAAAATATCAGGTCTGATTGTATTAGATCGTAAAACTTTGACTAATTTTATTCTCTTTTCAATTTTTTACATTTTCCCTAATGTGGCCATATTACTTTTTAGTTTTTAAAAGATAAGGAAACAAAAAAATGTTTATTAACTTAAATTGTCTTAAAAAACCTTGACTTGAGGGGCGCCTGGGTGGCTCAGTGGGTTAAGCCTCTGCCTTCGGCTCAGGTCATGATCTCAGGGTCCGGGATCGAGCCCTGCATCAGGCTCTTTGCTTGGAGGGGAGCCCGTTTCCCCCTCTCTCTCTGCCTGCCTCTCTGCCTACTTGTGATCTCTCTCTCTGTGTCAAATAAATAAATAAAATCTTAAAAAAAAAAAAAATCCTTGACTTGAAAATTCCCAGACTCCCTTGACTTACAAATCAAAAGTATGAAGTAAACTGAATAAATCATATTTCCCCTCCAAAACTAAAATGGAGGGGCACCTGGGTGGCTCAGTCATTAAGTGTCTGCCTTCGGCCCAGGTCATGCATGATCTCAGGGTCCTGGGATGGAGCCCCATGTCCGACTCTGCTCTGTAGGGAATCTGCTTCTCCCTCTCACTCTCACTCTTCCTCTCTGCTCTCTCTCCCTCTCTCTCTCTCTGCTCTTCCTCTCTCTCTCAAATAAATACATAAAATTTTTAAAAATTTAAAATTTAAATAAAATTTAAAATTAAAAAAAAATTAAAAATAAAGAAAAATTTAAATTTTAAAAAAACCCACAAAATTAAAATGGTGTCTTAGGCTATGGAGTTAAGAAGGAGTAAAATGTGTATAAAGCTTTTCAAAAAGATTATGTGAAAGTGACTCAGGTACTGGTACCTGTCACATAATATAATTACTTAATATGCCATTAGGAAATTTCTCTGTTTAGATCACAAATCCACTCCAAACAATAATAATGTTCCTCAAATTACTTACCAGATTTACCCTTGTTGTTGCCATTCAATGAAGTCCTTTCTGCTTACATATTCTATGGTTACATTATTATAATTGGCTAATATCAATCATTATTTTGAAAGAACTAACAAAATCGTTTATCATAAAAGTCACATAATTTCTAGAGTCAGTCATCACTACAGGGATGTTCCACTAATTTTTTTTCCCCTGTCTTTTTTTAAATTAACATATAATGTATTATTTGACCCAGGAGTACAGGTGTGTGAATCATCAGGCTTACTCTACTAATTTTTTTCATAGAAAAAATAATGGATTGGGTTGGAGCTGAGAAAATTTGATTCCATTTTGCTAATGTCTAGCATGTGAACTAAAACAGGTTTTTACCTTCTCTTTACCTTGGTTCTCTCATTTTCAGAACTGAGTAATTAATTAATGGGCTTTAAGGAGCTTTTTAGCTCTAAAGTTCTGCATACTCAATAATTATTGTTAAATAACAACCATTCAGTCATCACTCACATTCCTGAAAACACTATCACAAGCCAAGGATTAGATATTATGGACCTCAGTACAACACAGCTAAAGATACTAAAACAACTATGATTTTCAGATGATGACAACTTGGGGGAAAAAAAACAAACTAATGAAAGAAATACAAAATGTATAAGTTAATTGCTTGGCTTCAGACATAGAAGATTTTCTCCCTAAGTGTTTATTCTGAAAATTTTCAAACTCTGAAATGTTAGAGAATAATACAGTAAATACTATATAGCTTTCACCTGATTCTTAACGTGTCAACATTTTTATTACTCTGCATGCCTTCTTTCATTTTTTATTTTTTGCTGGACCATTTGAAAAGATTTGCAGATATTATGACATTTTACTCCTTAATCTTTAGCTTGCATTTTCTTTAAAGAGCATTCTTTTATCTTTATAATACTACCATCACAATTAAGAAAATTAACATTAATTTAATCTCATCTAATAATCCATATTTAAATTTTCCCAATTGTTCTCAACATGTCTTTTTTACTTTCTATTTTTAAAATGTCCAGAATCCTATCAAGGTTTAATATATCATATTTGGTTGTCATGTCTCTTAATCTAGAACAGTATTCCTGCTTTTTTTTGTTTTTTATTTTTTATGACAGTGTTTTAAAGAGTCTAGTGTGATATGTCTCACATCCTGGAACTGTCTGAGTGTTAATTAGGTTAAACATTTTGAACAAGAACACTATATAGATAACACTGTATGCTTTCTACTATATCACATCCAGCTGAACATAATGAGAGGTTATTCCAGTTTTTGGTGATGCTAAATTTGACCAGTTGGCTAAGATGGTGTCTGCCAGATCTCCCTACTGTGAAAGTATATTGCTTACCTTTGTAACTAATAGGTAACCTGTGGGGTGATAATTTGAGAACATGGTTTTAACACCCAATAATGACTCTGCCTAAATCAGTTATTTTATTGGGGGTGATAAAATGGGGTTTTCTATTTAGTTGCTATTTTATAAGGAAAATTTCCTTTGCTCCACCTTTCCTTTCCTTTCTTCCAACCCTCCTTCTTGCCTTCCTTTCTTTCTTCTTCTCATCTCTTTTCCTTCCTTCCTGCTGTTCTTTCTTTCTGCTTTTGGAGTATCACTATTGAATCATGGATTCTTTTAAATTTAATGCATTATTCATTACTTATTCATACTAGTCATTCTTTTTGATGCTCAAATTATTTCAAATTTGTCTACTGCATAAAGATTTTGAAGTAAATCAAAAGCATTGACAAATTTGAGGCAGAACATCAGAAGCTATAAAACAGTCAATTTCCAGTATTGTACACATTTATTGAGGGGTATTATTCAAAACATTTAACAAATAACACAACACAGGAATTAGTAAATCAGAATCTATGCTGGCAGTAAAAAACTGGTAAATACTGTGAACCTATTATTCCCCTAATTAATGATAAAAGCAAATTTTCAAGTTTTTTACATGAATAATTTTATTCATACAAAAATATCAAATTTGTCAGTGTACTAGTGTGAAAACAATGTCAGAGTACATAATGTTCAATAAAAGCATGCCCTTTAAATTCCATAACTGGGATCACTGGTGTTAACATGTCACAAATAAGCATTTTTCAGATTACATTGCTTTCAAAAATTTTTGAAACTGGAGATTCTAACCAAATACTTTAATTTACTCTTACCTTCTCTCTCTGAATATGTTGGTCTTGTTCCCAAATAAAACTACCAAGTTTTCTTCTTATTTCTGTGGTAAGAAAAACAAATCCAATACTATTTTTTTAAAGTAATTTTGTAGAATTTTCTGAAGTTTACCTGAAGTCTGAAATTTCTAGGCCAGCGTTATTCCACTTGCATCAAACTCACCTAAGATACTTGTTTAAAACACAGATTCTTATTGAATTAGAAGACTGAGGAGGAACTCAGGAATTTGCATTTCTGACAACCTCCCCAGATGATTCCAAAGCATTATGAAAATAACTATTATAAATTTTTTCTGCTGGAATTTATGCCTTCATTAGATATCTGTGTCTTCAGGCCAACCATCAAAATAAAATAGGCCAACCAGTCAAAATAAAAGGCATAAAATTCCTAAATTTGTAGAGTAGAGGTCCTCAAGAATTCAGTAATTTGGTAAAAGAAGAGTGGAAGAGAAACATGTCTAGTGGGCATAGTAGTATAGGAATTCTAAGAATGCTCAGCATATCAAAGGAATATGTCATTATCCTTAATAATCTCAAAAGCTTCCACAGTAGCCCACTTGAGGACAAAAAGGTAACACTCCTCTAACCATGTTGTCCAATATAGTAACCACTGGACTAGCTAAATATGAGCACCATATTGAAATATGGCTAGTCCAAAGTGAGATGTGCTATGAGTGTAAAATAAACACTAGATTTCAAAGATTTAGCATCAAAAAAAGAATGTAAATATCTCAATAATTTTTATGTTGGTTATATACTGAAATGACATTTTAGATATATTAGGTTAAATAAACTATATTCTTTTTTTTTCTTAAAGATTTTATTTATTTGTCAGAGAGAGAGGGAGAGAGAGCGAGCACAGGCAGACAGAATGGCAGGCAGAGGCAGAGGGAGAAGCAGGCTCCCTGCAGAGCAAGGAGCCCGATGCGGGACTCGATCCCAGGACGCTGGGATCATGACCTGAGCCGAAGGCAGCTGCTTAACCAACTGAGCCACCCAGGCGTCCCAATAAACTATATTCTTAAAATTAATTTTACCTAGGGGTGCCTGGGTGGCTCAGTTGGTTAAGTGTTTAACTCTTGATTTCGGCTTAGTCAGGTCACGATCTCAGGGTCATGAAATCAAGTGGGGAGTCTACTTAAGATTGTTTCCTTCTCCCTTTGCCACTCCCCTCCCCTGGGCTCGCTCTCTCTAAAAACAAACAAATCTTTAAAACATTAATTTCACCTATTTTTATCCACAGATTTCTTATTTATACTAGAAAATTTAAAATTAATATGTGGTTCATATTTGCATCTCACACTTCTACTAGACTCTACTGGTCTAGGTGGATAATAATGTATACTTTTTATTCTTATAAAGAACATGTTTTCATTTAAAAACAGATCTGTTAAAATTTTATTTATTAATTTTATTTTTTTTAAAAGGTTTATTTATTTATTTTAGAGAGAAAGAGAGAGCACGCATATGTTGTGGGGTGAGGGAGGAACAGAGGGGGAGAGAGAGAGTCTTAAACAGACTCTGCACTGAGTGTGGAGACCCTAATGCAGGGCTTGAACTCACAACCCTGAGATCATGACTTGAGCCGAAATCAAGAGTCAAATGCTTAACCAACTGAGCCACCCAGGCACCCCAATGTATAAAAAATAATACAAATATATGGGTTCATTATTAAAATGAATCTTAAAATTTCATTATAATAATGAAGAGATTGAAAACTAGCAAATATTTATTAAATGTTCACATGTCAGACTACTTAATATATTATCTCATTTTATCCTCAAAACAACTTTTTAAAATTCTCAAAACTAGTAAATATTGGATCCTCACCAAGAAGCACTGGGAGGGCAAGATATCTTTTTGTCTTATTCACTACTGAATCCCCAGCACCTGAGTTGAAACCTGACACACAGGAGTTCAGTGAATGTGTGAATGAGCAATAAATAAAGCTAGAATATACACCCAAGGCACTCTGATCCCGAGTCTATGATTTTCCACTTATATTAAATGATGCAAAACACAAAAATCTCTTATTGAGAATGAAGATCAACCAAGTTGGGAGACCTAGGTGGATCTGGCTAATAGAGATTGGATAAATGATTTTTGCTAACCTTCTTGCAAGCATGCAGGAGGAAGAATGAAATGACCTAAAGCCACCGAGTTTTTCATTTCAGCATTAGCTACTGCAGAGAGATAGTAGGCGTGAAAAACTGTAGCATTATCTTCTATGTAATCAAGGCTCTGATATATTCTAGGAGAAAGAAATGAAATATTTTAGGTTATAAAAGAAACAAGAATGTATTCAACCTTTCAAAAGAAAGAATAACTGAGTGGAAGTAGGGATAATTATCTATAGGCAGTCAGGACAGTGGGGAATAAGGGAATGGGGAAAGGGCAGCCAGGGTGATGATTAGATCTCTGCTTTGTAATGATAACGTGAAGGGGGATTGCAGGTGGGCAGATTGGAGGCAGAGTAACCTCTCTGAAAGCTAGTGTGATAGTCCAGCAAGAGGGAATGACCGTGTGTAGGAAGATAGTAGCAGTGAGCAACACTTTTACATGGGTACATCATACATGTACCCTAACGTTTGGCCACCGACTGATTAATGGGGGTGGGGTGATTATTCTCAAGAAACTACTAGCATTTTAAGTTTGAGAAGACAGGACCTGGTGCAGGTGTGAAGGGGCAATCAGGAGATTTGGTTGAAACATACTGAATGTGATGGCCTTCAAAGCACCACGTAGAGCTGTGGGAGAGACAGCTAGAAGCCCAAGACTGGAACTCGGAAAGGCTCATGGACCAGGTAGGAGGCCATGTCATTGTGGCAGAAAGGAGAAGAGAAAGGTTGTTTATGTTCCTCCCCCCTTCCCATCTAGGGCTGAAAACTTGTTCCTTTCCAGTCTATTCCTATATCAATATTTCTTAGTGACCGCGACTTCCATCTCCAGCTCCTGGATCATCAGGACCCGAGAGGCACGACCGGGTGGCTTCAGGTACCTCAGTGTGTCTGGGTGGGAGGCATCACAGCTGAACAAGAAGTCGGCGTCCTTTGGGTCATTGATGGAGCCCCCTTCGGCCACTGTGAAGGCAAGAGCACAAGTTGAGCCTATCAAGTACCCTGGGACAAAAGCCCCATGGAGAACAGAGGTGCTCTGCCCACCACCTCACCCGCACCTTCCACCCAGCCACCTACCCCAGAACTGCCTCAGTTCTCGGCCGACGCTGCCACAGAACCAACCCCGCTGCCCTTGAAACATGGCGATCGGCTCGCACCCGGGGGTGTGGGGGAGGGGGGCCTAATGGGGATCGCTAATTGGTCTGAGGTGTGAAACGAAGCTCGATGATTGGTTCTCAGAGTAATGGGCGGGAAAAGCCCGAAGCTAAAGGAAGAGGCGTCTGGGCGCTACTGGCGAGCGACCGACGCGTGAGATTGTGAAGAAGCGGCTCAGCTTTCACCCCCGAGGTGGCGGAGAAGGGTCAGTCATGCTTGTGAGTGTTAAACCTTCAGTGTTAAAGTTATTATGCTGATGTTACAGGCATAGCCACAGGTTCTGTGGCATCAGGTATTATTTTGAAGCCAAACTCATTTTATCATTTATAAATGTTTCAATTAGAATCTGTAAAAGATAAAACCACAATACCATTATCACACTTAAAAATAATAATTCTTTAATACAGTCAAATTGCACCAGTGTTGAAATTTCTGGTTTTTTCAAAATTATGCTTTGCTTTTCGTTTCCACCACCCACCACCTACCCCCCCCCACATCAGTTTTCATAATCTATATTTTTCTGGTGTTGGGTCCATTTAATATAAAATTTCAAAAATATTGATATAAAGGTGATAAAACATTTTATTATCTTTTTAAATGTCTGCAGGCTCTGTAACAATGGTCCCTTTTTCATTTCTGTTATTGGTTATTTGTACCATTTTATTTCTTGGTCTCACCACAGGTTTGTCAGTTTTATCAGTCTTTTCAAAGAATAAATTTCCGGCTTTGTTGATACTCTAATGTATTTTCTATATCATTAATTTTTGTTCTTGTAAGTTCCTTGGTTTTAAATTGCTGTTCTATTAATTTCTTGAAAGAGATGAGTGATTTTCATTCTGTTTTCTAATATGTGCATATGAGGCTATAAATTTTCTTGAAATTGTGTTTTCTTAAAAATTTCCAGGGCCGCCTGGGTGGCTCAAGGGGTTAAAGCCTCTGCCTTCAGCTCAGGTCATGATCCCAGAGTCTTGGGATCCAGCCCCACCTGGGGCTCTCTGCTCAGCGGGGAGCCTGCTTCCCTTCCTCTCTCTCTGCCTGCTTGTGATCTCTGTCAAATAAATAAGTAAAATCTTTTAAAAAAATTTTCCAAACATGAGATTATGTAGTTAACTTGTTGTTAATGATTTCTGTTTTAAATGCAGTAAGGTCGACGAATATGGCCTGTATGGTTTTAATCTTTTAAAATGTGTTGAAATTTCCCTTATGATTGAAGTATATGGTCAGTGTTCTCTGTGTGTTTGCAAAGAATATTCAGCAGCTGTTGGATATTCTGAGTGTTGGATGCAGGATTCTGCATGTTTATATGGTCAAATTTGTTAATCATATTGTCAGGTTTTACTATCAGTTACTGAAAGAAGCATATTAAAATCTCCTTTGTGGATAAATTGATTTCTTGTTAATTTTTGCTTTATATATATTGAAATTATGTTGTTAGGTGCATGCTAATGTATACTTTCTACTTGGCTGAACTATTAAGCCCTTAAATATGAAAGGCAAAACTTTAAAACACAGGAATAAAACAGGGGAGAATATCTCTCAGGCCTCTGGGTAGGGAATAACATTTTAACAGACACAAGTATTAACCAGTAGAAGGTATTTGCACTATGAATAACCAACAAAAGATTGGTATCTAGAGCACATAAGTAACCCTATGATTCAGTAAGAGACAGACAACTCAATAGATAATATGGGCAAACACCTGAATTTCATAGAAGAAGAAATTTAAATGGCCAATAAACTTAAAAAAAGATGCTCAGCCATAGGGGTAAATAGGGAAATGCAAACTAAAACTATGAGATACCGTCATGTACCCACTTAACTGGTAATAATTGAATTGCTAAAAACATAGATTAATGGGAACTTTGGGAATGTAAATTGACATAGTCACTTTGACCAACAATTTAGCATTGCTTACTTAAAAATGTGCATACCCGGGACGCCTGGGTGGCTCAGTTGGTTGGACGACTGCCTTCGGCTCAGGTCATGATCCCAGAGTCTCGGGATCGAGTCCCGCATCCGGCTCCCAGCTCCATGGGGAGTCTGCTTCTCCCTCTGACCTTCTCCTAGCTCATGCTCTCTCACTGTCTCTTTCTCAAATAAATAAATAAAATCTTAAAAAAAAAAATGTGCATACCCTACTGGCCAACATTTATTAGATATATACCTAGAGAAACTCTTGCTCTCCTTTACCAGTACATCTTGTGCAATAATGTTTATGGCAAAATTGTTGCTAAAGCAACAGCAACAACCAAAAACAAAACTAGAAACAACTACTTATTTATCAACAGTAGTTTGGATATTTAAACTGTTGTAGTTTCATAGAATGGAATACAACATAATTTTGAATTTCAAAAAAGCTAAGGAAGACATAGAACATGACTCCATTCATTTAAACTTCAAACAACAGACATAAGGGGGGGTTCCTGGCTGGATCAGTTGGAAGAGTATGTGACTCGAACTCAAGGTGGTGAGTTTGAGCCCATGCTGGGTGTAGAGATTACTTAGATAAATATTTTTTTTAATTAAAAAAAAACAGACTAATGAAACTTTTTTTAAGGATACATATATATGAAAAAACAAATCAGTATGGTTGTTGGAAAAATATACCTATGAATTATTTTCAGAAAGAAAAAAAAACAGGTACAAAATATAGAATAATTATTACTTCAGGGCCTAGAGAGGGACACTGGGAGACTTAAAAGGTTTTGATACTATTCTATATGCAAAACTAGATGGTAAATTAATGAGTATTTGTTTTTTGTATCATTCTCTAAATTGCATATATATATACACTCACACACATAACATATATATAAAAATACTCTCTTGTGTATATTTTACAATTTAATTCTTAAAAATAATCAATTAGGTAAACTTTGGAGGGTTTTATGTAAAGTAGTTAAGCATATCTCTGGCCTTGAATAAATCACTTTTACTCATCTGAAAAATAAATTTGTCCAGAACATCTCTTTCCTAGGAAGTACTTGGTAATCCAGTATTTCTTTTTTTTCTCCTATATCTCAACTATGTTACACAACTGTGCAATGATATTGCCACTGCTATTCTAAAGGTCAATTTAGTCACAGAAAAGTGCAGTCATTGTCCTTTTAAGGTTCTCATCTCTGAATCCTAACACAGTGACTTTACCTTCTACTTTTTTGTTACTAGCAGGCTCGTCTCCTATAGCCTGGGATAAAACAATATATAAGATAGCTCTAATAATAATTCTTAGTGAATACCATTCAGAGTCTATTTCTAGCAGGAAAGTCTCATATTGGTGTTTTATGATTCATACTCATTAGAAGGATTCATACTCATTAGAAGAATTCCTGCCTTTAATTGTAATCTGAGTTCTATATAGAAGGATTGCTCAAATTATTCTGTATAGAATAACCAATTAGGGGCACCTGGGTGGCTCAGTGGGTTAAAGCCTCTGCCTTCGGCTCAGGTGATGATCCCAGGGTCCTGGGATCGAGCCCTGCATGGGGCTCTCTGCTCAGCAGGGAGCCTGCTTCCTCCTCTCTCTCTGCCTACCTGCCTACTTGTGATCTCTATCTGTCAAATAAATAAATAAAATCTTTAAAAAAAAAAAAAGAATAACCAGTTATTGGGGAAAACTGCGTGAAAATAAATTTGTGTTTTCTATGATAAGACAAATGCTGGAAAGTTAAGATAGTATGTTAGAGAAAATATTAAGGTAGATACCTGCAGATAGTGGAAAATATGTATACACCTGTGGTCTGTCCTGGTTCCCCTGGTGATTCAGAAAAAAAATTTATTTTTCCCTTTTTCGAAGAATTTATTGTGGTATAATTTACATCCCATAAAATCTGCCTGTTATAAGTACATGGTTTACTAATTTCTAGTATATTTATATAGTTATCCAACCATCAACCACAAAAAAACATTCATTTTTAAGAAATATATTTACCAATTCAGATTAGAATTTTTTATTCATTCCTATTCATCTTTCACTATCTCTGACTTAATCACAACTTTTCTTTAGAATTTTATCTTCCTATTCTGGTGAATATTAACCTCTCCTTTTTCTGAACTCTATAGTACTTCTCTATCCCCAAAGACAGACTTTAGATATTGATTAAATATCCAAGCATCTGAATTTAAGTCTCTCCAAATGAACCTTTTTTTCTTTTTATGTTTCTTTTATGTCTTTCAAAACATCCAGCAAGGTTCAGGCACAAAACAAGTCCTTATTACATTCTGATTGAAATGAATTTATTTATTTATTTATTTTAAGATACACAATTTGGGGTGCCTGGGTGGCTCATTCAGTTAAGTGGCTGTCTTCAGCTCAGGTCATGATCCTGGGGTCTTGGGATCCAACCCCTCATTGGGCTCCCTGCTCAGTTGGAAACCTGCCTCTCCCTTTGCCTCCCCACCACCCCGCCCCCGCTTATACATGTCCTCTCACCCTCCTTCAAACAAATAAATAAAATCTTTTGAAAAAAAGATACACGATTTATTTATATATTTATTTGTTTATTTAAGTAGGCTCCATGTCCAGTGTAGGGCTGGAACTCACAGCCTCGAGATAAGACTTGCATGCTCTACTGACTGAACCAGCCAGATGCCACAATTTTTTTTTATTTATTTAAGTAGTTTTCTTTAAAAGTAGCCATAGGCATGTCATGGCTGTTTGCCCAACTCAGCAGCTATGAATATGTGTGTATTGTAAATGCCAGCAGTACAAATGCCACAGAATATTACCTGTGGTATATGTGTATCCTTCCCATTATGATAGATAAGATAGGGGGCTTTTACCCTGCCAAAGAGTGTTGGTGAGTGCTAATTGCAATTTTAAAGGGCCAGTGCTATAGGTCCTAGGTACCCCCCCACAAACACGCACAAACCCTATCAGATTTAGAGCATGAAGCCTAGTTAGATGGGACTTTGAAGGAAAAGAAGGGATAGTTCATCAAGGGTACTGCTGAGCTAAATGATGCCAAATAATCTAACTGTAGACAGAAGGAACACACTGGAGGATGGGTGTACTAGAGAGGACAAGATAAAAAGTACTGATATTTAAATTATAGGCAGGAATGATGGAAAAGACATAGTCGAAAGCAGACTGAAATACTTAAATATAT